CTACTGTCTGACAGTATATCTATTTTGATTTCATGCATGTTCTGGTATTGATTTTTTAATGGGGTGTGGCCAGTGGGCTGATGAGAGGAGAATAATAAGCTTGTGATATCAGGTATGAGAAGAGAGTTGTTGCAGTGTACAGAATGGCTTGTGTGCTATAGATGCCTGATGATGGGGGTAGGAAAGAGGATGGATTCAAATCAGGGGAAGAACACTGGGAATGAAGTTCGATGAACTAAGCAAGTGATCTTGCAAAACTTATTCTGCGGAAATAATGGTACACCCATGGTATGTGATTCTTCACTGCTTCAGTGCTGTGAGATACTGCAAAGAGATCTGCACTTTTTGAAGCAGATCACAGTGTAGCAGAAAAAGCCCACATACCCACAGCTTGAGTTTCTGTTTGTTGCCCAGATAGCAGTGCCTGCTACAGTTCCTGATACTTTTGTTTCTCAGAATAGGCAGGTCACTGTGATGCCCAGGTGGTCAGTATGACACATATTGAGGGACCAATCAAAGACAGCCAAGTGCCCTACCTCTGTACTTCCCCTTTGTAACCTCACAAAAGCCTCTCTCCCTGAGCCTTTGGATCTCACATTTTTATAAGAACTGATTTCTTGTCGCTGCCCCAAAACACAAACAAATCTATCTTTGGATCTTGTGTTGCTGCCGTGTTTGAGTTTGCTATAGCAACAGCATGGTAGAAGAAAACATTTCAAGGTAATTGAAAGGGGAATGTTAGCAACTTTCCTTGCCCTTCATAGGACTGACAAACACATGGCAGGGTGGGGTCAACTCTTATAAAAGTAATGTTTGAAATCTGGCCCCTTCCCCAAAAGAGCTGTGACCGCCTAAAAGATACAATGTTTTGGCCATTTATAATATCTTGTCCTAGAAATTATTTTGATGTTCATTCAGCAGTTTAATTTTACATTTGAGAAAGAGAATCATTTTTAAAACTTTGTCTTGGCTCTATAGGATCTCCTTTTTTTTTCCTTTTCTTGGTGCGTCTCTCTGTGTGTCTCTGTCTCTGTTTCTCTTTCCCCCTTCCTCCCTCTCCCTCTTTCTCTCTGAAAAGAAGTGGCCCTGTAGAATTTTCTCGAAAAGAAAGAAATGGAGGCTAATGATACTTAGGAAGATGGGGGGTGTTGTGAGATGAATGCCTTAATTTTGACAGAAATTAGTCTGCATGTCTTGTTTGCTTGTAAAACGTATGGAAAGAAAGATCTTTGTGGAGAATAAGCTGCATATGTCTTTGTGAGTGGTACTGAAGAATGGAAGCAAAAATGGCCCAAAAAAACCCTTGTGTACTTGCTGCTAAGTGTTATGAAGCATTTTCTGACAAGTTGTTTGCCATCATCGCATGATAGCTTTATTTCCGGGTATCACCAAATGAAGATCCTTCAGCTTCTCTCAGGTCATCCGCAGTATATAATGAGGCAGAATCACAATTTGGCTGCTCACATATGCTGTGCTACATTGATGAGAGATGTGACAGGACTGAAGTTTGTTTTGTCCAGGAGCTTTAATCTTCATGGAGGCAGTAAGACCAAGAGATCTGCATGATGCATCACTTCCAGATGATCCACTGAGTCTCAGGACAGGGGGATGGCTCTGCAGGAGTGACAGGCAGGCTGAGAGGACAATGAATACTCACGATATCCCCAAGGGAGTCTTCTCCATCCTTCTACCTCTGTGCCAGACACTCAGCAGAGCACACATCCCAGCTGCTCTGTTGTTTCCTTCACTCTTACTACTGGACAGAGGCCTCAGCTGCAACTTGTTCTTCAACCTCTCTCTCTCACACAGTGCAGTCTGTGCTGTGCTGCTCCCCAGAGAGCAGTGCAGGAGGGCAGCTGGGCATCTCTTGGCTGGGAGGTTTTTGTTTAGGGCTGTGTCACTGTGGTAGGATGTTTTGTATCTTGTAAACAATAATAAACTCCAGTGTCCTCAGCCTCCACCTTGCTGATTTTGAGTGTGAAATCTGTCCCTGAGGCACTGCCACTGAACCTGTCTGAGATGCCAGGAAACCAGCTGGAAACTTTATAAATCATGCCCTGAGGAGCCTGGCCTGGCTTGTGCCACATCTAGCTCAAATAGGTGTTTCCATCACTATGCAAGAGGCTCTCACTGGACCTGCAGGAGATGGAGGCTGCTCTCCCGGAGAGATGGAGAGAGATTGTGGGGTCTGTGTCATCACATCTCCTGTGGATCCTAAAATGGTGAAAGAGAAATGCAAAATCATGAATCAACTATCATGGTTTTCTCTTTCCTGCCATTATCAAGCTAAAGTATTGTCATATACTTTATATATATATATTATATATATAAATATATACTTTATATATATAATATATATATATATATTTTTTTTTTTTTCTAATCACAAGAATCACAAGAATCCCTCTAGAATTGGTATGAGCAACCCACTCTTTCTTTTTTGGAAGTCTTCCTGATAGGTCAGGTCCTGAGTCCTTTAAGAATTTTCTTCACTCTGATCTAACCTCACACACCCATGGTTCAAGTGAGGGCTGCACATCTCAGGTGTGGACAGAAATCATTTGAGTGGCAGTGGGACCCCGAGGCTCTCCCTCTTACCTCATGCCCCTCCTGATATCCCTGTGTCCTTACCAGTGATCCAGAACAGTAGCAGCCCCAGGAGCTGAAAAGCAAGCCTCATTTCATGAAACTGAACTGAAGAGTCCTGATCAGTTAAGGGAAAGCTAGAGCCAGCTTATATCTGAAACTTTCTTGGGAAGGTCCTCCCTGGGGACAAAATGCAAATTCCATGGTGGGTGCAGTGGTGTAGAAAGAGAAAACAGCATGGTGGGAGGCTTCTCATGTGAGCCCAGTGGTATAAAATATCTCTGCATTGGGAGGAAAACAATAGAGCTACAGTCCATGCTGTGTCCGAGTCTCCATCAGGTACAGAATATTCAGGGCTGTGCCCATCCCAGACAGGACTGAAGTCCCCAGGATATGGGGGCGTGTGCAGATCAGTTTCTGGGAGGGGAAGGCTCGTGCTTCTTAGCCTTGGGAACAAAGAAATTCTCACTTCATGAGAACTCATCTTAATATTTTTTTTAAATGTAAGATCTGATAGGAGCAGGTAAACTCTCATCATCTTATATTTATAAGTATTAGAAAAATATTTTATATGATCTAGAAATTAAATGATATAAAAGCACCAAAGTTAAAAGAAGTATGATACAGAGTAAAATATTTATCTTCAAGTTGTAAATTTGCTTCTCCATGGAACACAAAAGGGAAAAGGAAAAAAATATATGCCCTACATAGTGGATGTGAATTTGCTTGTGAATAGGTTTTGAAATTTGTAAATTTCTAAGGATGCCTGTTTCCTTGTAGAAATGTATACACACAGTTGCCCACACACACACACATTCTGGATTTATCAAAACCTTTCTTGAAGAAAGATTTCTCTTGATTTTAACATACAATGAAAAATTGTACTACTGTTCAGAATGATCATAAAATATCCTTCTCATATCTACTGTTCCTTTTAATAGATATTACACAGCTACAGCCCATAGTTTAAAGCAATATTCCAAACGTCAGAATGTCACCATTGAATCAAGGTTTTTACCATCTCAGAGTAATTTGAGCCAGTGACTGACATGGCCCTGGAGGGTATCTGAGGTGGTCACTGTGGAAAGGGGTCAGTTTGAGAGTCCCATCAAAGCTGTGAGAGAGTAAAGCCACGCTGTCACTGGTCTGTAGGTGAGATGATGGGTTCAATGAGGGGAAGAGCACTGGAAATCAAGCTCTATGAACTGAGCAGGTGACCTTGCATAATTTATTATGAGGAAATAATAGTACATGGGAGGCATCAGGTTCTTCACAGTTTTGACTCTGAGGTTTTACAAAGACATCTGCATCTGGTCATTTTTTCTTTTACTCAGGAGATTATTTCTACTTTAAATTCCTTTAAAGCTTCCCGGAGTTGCTTCTTTACTTAAGTTGCTATTATTTCAGCTATTTCAGGTGTATGGCATATATTTTCTTCTGTGTACATTGCTCCTAGGGTTTCTTGGGATGGGCTGGATTTTTCAGATTGTATTTTGGTCTTCTGTTTTGTCATTTTCCTATATTTCTGTGTTTCAAGTGTTATTGCAAGGCTTCCCCCGGGCCTGTTGGAAATCCTCTTCTATCCCCTCAGCTCCTGGGCCTTTGGCCACCCAGGTCCCCAGATTGAGAAAGGGTCACTGGGGGCGGGGCAGGTCAGCTCAAGATGCACTGAGCTGGTCCAGTGCAACAGGAAGCAGTAAAGTTCCCTGTCCGGGGCCAAGCTAGGATCCCAAACTAGCTGGGCTCAGGGGATGGTGTGGGCACACTCACCCCAGGCTGCCCAGCCTCTGGAATTGTTGAGACTGGCAGGCCCAGAACTCCAGAGTCCTGGTCCTGTTCTTGAACTTGGATGGGGAACCCCGCCAAAAGCCGCCTTTCTAGTTGTTGGGCAATTCCCCTTCCCTGACTCCTCAGGACTGCAGCTGGAATAGACCTCAATGATGCACTTTTAAAGAAAGAAGTAGTTGATCATTGAAAAAACATCAAGGGAAGGCAAGAAAAACAAACAAAAAAACCAAAAAATAGAAAACATACCAACTGAATAGTGAAAATGGAAGCAGAACCCACCAGAAAGTATGTGTCCAGCAAACGTATTTATAAGTGAGCATGTTACAGGAGCCTTCAAATAGAAAGATCTCAATAACTAATATCATAATTCAGACATTTATTTAAGTTCTCCTTAATTTAGAGAAAAGATATAAGCATAACTGACATCCTCTTAGTGAACTAGGTAGAAAGAGAAAACTCAAAGAAATGCAGTTTGCCTTTACATTTAAGGCTTATATCACTCTTTGGGAGCTGAAAAGGAATCTTCCCTGCTTTCATTTAATACTTACATTGTTAGCCCTCATCTATAGTTTCCAGTGCAGGTTTTAACTCCTGTTTTGACTTCTGCATTTTGGGTTACATTGCAGGACCCAGGCTGCCTTCTTCTGTGAATATTCATTGCCTGATGAGACTGCAGCTAAGACTGAATCCCTGACCTCCAGAATCTCACAATTCATCTGTCCCTAGAACACTGAAGATTGGAAGACTGATGGCATCTTGAAATTCTGAAGTTCCACTCCTCATGCCTATTGCCACTCCATGTACATTTATTAATCTCCTGTGGAGTTTATCAGGCAGTTCCACCTGGCAATACAGCACACTGGTGCAAGATAATGACAAAGAGAGAAAATCCTACAGTTCAGGAGCTCTGGGAACCAATGTTATTCATGGAACTAGAGGCCATGAATTCCAAAAGTTCATGGCTTTTATCAGTATCAATCAGAGATGTGGGTCGGGGTCATGGCTGAGCGTTTAGAAAGAGACACTTTGCAGGCATTGGCTGTACCAGCCACAGAGGCTCTCCAATTAGACAGGATATTTGATGCTTGCAAATCTGGAACCTTTCCTTCTTGGATGGTGTAATTCTTCCTTAGTCCCAATGCTTCTGCTGAGATACTGTCTTATGTGTTAGCCCTGGAATTGCAGAGGCCACTCCTGGAGCCCCCATTCCAGGTGTCAACACTGTGGGTAATGATTACCTGGGCTTGATCTCATTCTTCTAGCTGGATAAGGAAACCACCAGCTCCATATAACCAGCTCAGCATATCTCAATGAATAGAGTTGAAGGACAGGCAAAGGGGCTTGTTTCTCTGGAGAGCACAGCTTGGCAGTCTCCCATAGACATCAACACAAACTCTCTTGTGACTCATTCAAGTACATGACACTTATCCTCCTTTTACTTTTCTCTCTCATCTCACATTCAATATGTCTGTAAAGCTTATTTGCTCTAATTTTAAAATATGACCAGAATCTGTCCGCCTTTCAATACATCTACTGATGGGTCAAAGCTCTGACATGTGAGCACATTGAGACATGGATAAAAGTATCAGAGGAGGTGAATGGGACTTTTTAATATTACTTTGGAAGTAGGGCCCAAAGGCCAACTTTTAGAACAGATATTATTGTCCCATTATCAAACTCTTCATTTTTGAAAGGCCACACCAGGAAACAAGCACCATCTGAGAACCAGTGCCTTGCAGGCTGCCACTGGTCTGTGGACAGTCAGTCCTCAGCCCCTTCCAGCTTGCAGGATGACAAACAAGAAGTATCAGTGCACCCCCCACAATTTCCCCAACCCAGAAACACAGGCTGTCATGATAGCTATCAATGTGAAATGCAATTGGATGCCTGTGGTGCTTTGATGTTTCACTGATATTGCAGATATAGGGCCAGTGGTCTGATCGTAGGTTCAGGGGATAGCTGTACACAAGGTGACAGCTAGAGAGGATCTCCTTCTGAGGGTTCCATCCATTGTTGATTCTCTATGGTCTAGTTTTGAAAGTCATATATTATTTCCATTCTTTTGTTGGGTTAGGTTTTATTCTCTCTCTTTTTTTTTTTTTTTGATTATGTTAAGTCGGATGGCAAGAGCAGCTGTTTCAAAGACAGCAGTATGTATTATGGTAGCAATTTTGGATTTACTATTGGCTTGTTTTGAATTTCTTTATTGCATTTTTTGTTTTGTTTTTATTGTTTGTATTTTACTCTGTTCTGTTTGATTTTTACTATGTCCAAAGATCTCTTCAGCTATTTTGAAGACAACAAAAGGCATTCTGTTAATTATTGCTGATTTTGTAATGTATTAAAATGTTGTATCACTTACACTGGTTTATTTTTATTGGTTTTGTTCTGTTTTATTCTCTTTAAAAATAATTTAAAAACAAACTTGTCGCTTTCTCTCAGTCTACTTTTAATTTTGGGGAAGCAGATATCTTGAGGGATTTTAACAATAAGGAAGATACTGGGGCCTAGAGATTTATCAAGTGTCACAAGGATAGGTTGTATTGATGGCTGTTTAATCCTAGAAGTAGTAGGATGCAACTTCCTGTTAGCTTGTAAAAATCTTAGAAAGAAAGAATCTTGTAGTGACTAAACTCTTCTGTGTCTTAGTGAGTAATAATGCACAACAAAGGAACAAACATTTATAAATTCCGTTTCCCATTGTTATGAAATGCTGTGAGAAATTTTCTCACAGGACTCATTTGCTCCTATCCCATGGTTGCTATATGCCTGCATATCACCAAATGAACACCCTCCAACTTCTCTGGTTAGATCCAGTGCACAATGATGCAGAGCCCCACTTTGGATGTCCACCTTTCCCTTGCTGCATTGATCAGAAAGATGTGGCGTCACCCAAATTTTATTTTTGAGCTGAAAACTTTATTAATCTTGGAGTCTGTAACAACTGAGAGCCCGGCATCAGGATCCATGTAGGGCCAATGGAACCACACTTGGTAGCCCAGATGTGATCTGTCCCCTCTGGCCTTGTGAGCTGGGAGCAGATCTCCAGGAGTGACGGGCATCCTGAGAAGACAATGTATGGCTGTTAATTCCCTCCTGGGTAACATGATAAGAGGGCAGTGAAAGGGGACTGGGGATTTAGCTCAGTGGCATAAGTGCCTGCTTGCAAGCAGTCAGTCATGAGTTCGATCCCTGGTACCAATAAAAACAAAAAAGACCAAAAGAGAGAGAGAGAGAGAGAGAGAGAGAGAGAGAGAGAGAGAGAGAGAGAGAGAGAGAGAAAGGGCAGTGAAAGATAAAGTACTAACCTTTTAAGCCATTTCCATTTTATTAATAATTTTTGGCTAAATTCATGTTTATGTGTTTCTTTTGGTTTTATTAATTTTCACAAAGGAACAGAATTTTAAAGGCCTAAAGAAACTGTAGTGCTCAGTTGCATCCTTCTCCCTCTGTGTCAGATCCCTCAGCAAAGAACATATTCTTGTTACACTGTTGTCTTCCTCAATCTTCCTCCAGGGCAGAGGCCTCAGTTGCAACTTGTTGTTCTGATTCTTCAGCCCCTTCCTCTCACACAGAGAAGTCTGTGCTGTGCTGCTCACCAGACAGCAGGACAGGGGGGCAGCTGGGCCTCCCCAGGCAGGGAGGTTTGTGTTTGGGGCTGTAGCATTGTGGGAGGAGTATACATACCTTGCCAACAATAATAAACTCCAGCATCCTCAGCCTCCACCCTGCTGATTTTGAGAGTGAAATCTGTCTCTGACAAACTGCCACTGAACCTGTCAGAGACTCAAGAGTCTTGATTGGAAACCTGATAAATCATTTCCTGTGGAACCTGACCTGGCTTGTGCACAAGCCAATACAAATAGGTTTTTCCATCACTAGCCAGGAGACTGACTGGATGTACAGGAGATGGAGGCTGACTCTCCAAGTGAGATGGACAGAAAGAGTGGAGTCTGGGTCATCACCTCTCCTGTGGATTCTAAAATGATGTAGTCAAGGCCACATGCAAACATCTTGAGCCATTTCAATTGTTTACACTTTTTCATATACATCCGTCTAAATGATCTTTGCCATTTTGATGTGCACACAAAATATTCAGTTTGAAGAACAGGCCCCTAAACTAGCAGCCACAAGGAAACCCACAGTGTTTCCCTGCAAAATTTCTGTCATTTTTCTGCAAAATCATCATCAGAGGATATAGGTCCTTGTTCCCACTGGCATCCTCGTCCTGCAGACCCACGCCTCCATGATGCATGATGAAGAAGTCCATGATGCAGGCCAAACTTGCCATTGTCACTGTGTTCTGAGAACACCTGGGCAGCATGGGGCATCCAGGGCCCACCTGTCACCCCATCTCCCCCTAGGCTCCCCATGTCCTTACCAGGCAGGCAGAGCATGAGCAGACCCAGGAGCTGAACATGGTGCCTCATTTTGAGAAGTTGGAGTGAGAAGTCCTGATTACCCAGAGTGAGGTGACGAGGGAGCTCTTATCTCAGACTTGCATGGGCAGTTCCTCTATGAGGAGCAAGATGCAAATTCCCTGGTGGGTGCAGTGGTGAAGGGCATAGCACTAGCCCTGTCTTTTGAACAGAATGATGGAAAATATTTTCTGTGTTTGGATGGAATTGGTAGAGATACAGTCCTTGCTTTGTGCAGCTGTGGGCATGAGGTCCATAGCATGTAATTCTGCACCTCCCACAGGAGCCCAAATACCCCAGCGCAGCACCCGGCCCTAGGACACATGCATGTGTGTTCAAATCAGGGTCCAGGAGGGAAAGCTTACCCCGCTCAGCGTCTGCCCTAGCTCTGAAGGAAAATGCACCTTACAGTGATTTTCAGAGATTTCCACCACAACAACATGGTCGGAGGCTGTAAAGACTCTGGCCACTGCTGTTCCCTTACAAACTCTGTGAGGACTAAAATCATGTTAGAAATAGTTATTCCTGAATTTGGTGGCTAAACTCAAGAAAAGCACTCATGTTGAAAGAAATTATGTTTCTTTCTGAAGAATAGGTTACAACTTTATGAATATTAAATGGAAATTTTTTTAAAAATATGCCTTCTATCATGAATGTATATTTTAAAAATTTGTGAATATTCTGTCACCTTTATCTCCATTAATATTTATCAAATTATATTCATTGAAGTATAAACTCTAATATATATTTACTTATAAAATTATATATCCTTATATAAATGTCAGATGTGTATATATTCACATCAGATTAATAAAAATGTTTCTTAATATAAAAATCCCTGCTCAGGATGGAGGAGGTATAATTTTATAGCTGGTTTTATTTCCAGGTTGGCTCTGGATGCCCCATGATGCCCAGATATGCTCAGAACACAGTGAGAATGGCAGGTTTGGCCTGCATTATGGACTTCTTCAGAGGTGTGGGTCTACAGGGTGAGGATTCCAGTGGGAACAAGGACCTATGTCCTCTGATGATGATTTTGCAGAAAAATGACAGAAATGGTACAGGGAAACACTATTCATTTTCTAAGTGGCCATAAAGTCCTTGTCATCAGTGTGTTTTATTTTCCTAGGCACTGTGTAGCCTCAGTGTTAAAAGGAGCCCATGTGAGGACATCAGGGTGACCCCAGGCTTCTTCCTGTCTCTGTGCAGTGTGAATGAGTGAGCAGCTTAGGCCAGGATGATCCTGGGAGTGGTGCAGGGTCCGATCTGCTGCGGGAGTTCAATTTCAGATTCCTTCTTCCAAGCCAGGGAGATGAATCCTTGTGTTGAAAGACTGAAGTCCATGGTATTTGTTTTTTAATGACAGTCCAAGAAATCTGGCACATCCTCTCAGAGCTCCTGTCTACTCTCTTTATAAATAAATACTCCAGTACGTCTACTTTCCCTTCTCTCCTACCTTCTTTGTATTTTCTTTCCCTGTTTGCCTGAGGTTAAAATCATAGCCTTCATGCTAAGCTATATCCTCGGCCTCTTTTATCCTTATTTTTTGTATTTTGATGCAGCATCTCCTTAAGTCACTAAGTTAGTCAGTTTAGGCTTGCACTTGACATCCTCCTGCCTCAGCCTTCCAGAAACCTGGGATTACAGTTATGTGCCATCTGGCTTAGATGTCTCTGTCTTCTGAGTGCTTATATCTCTGTAAGCACTTTGAAAAGTTGGTATGATGGCTTGCTTGGATTTTCTGGACCTTGGTGTAGTTCTTTTTAAAATTTCATACTTTTTTATTAGTGCATGCTTGCAGTACATAATGATTGCATTCATCGTGGAGAATGGGTCCATATTCAGGACATATCTTAATTCCTATTTCTCCTCCATCTCATTTGTAAATTACTAAGGGTCTATTTTTTTGTGTCTAACATGAGTTACCAGTAGCAGCTAACATAAAGGACAGTAAGCTGCAGGTCACTAGAACAGGCACAGAGCAAAGTTCTAATATCTCACAGAGGTGTAGAGTGGATACAAAAGCCTGCTGCAAAACAACTTGGGCAGATTTAGTCGTTTTTAATGTTCCTGCCACTGGAAATTGAAGAGATCCAAATCTGTGTACAGTTTGACTGTTTATTTTTAAGTTTTGTTTTAATCATGGTAAAATTTAACATAACAAAACATCATAAGAAAACCATGTATGAGACACAGATTTCAAAGCAAGACAACCAAAGTCTCCACTGTTTATTATATTGTCTCTTGTTTTCTTCCAAATAGTTTTCCATACCTTCACATACAACGAATTCATAAAAGAAAAAATAGTATAAAATTAATCAGAGTAGGATGACGAATGCATTTTAGGTCTTCAAGAGCAAACAATAGGGAAGTCCACAATGCCTGCCATAGTGTCTCTCATTCTCTTCTAAATAGCTGTCCATACCTTTATGTATGTTGAAATTAAAGAAAACAAAATAGACTAAAATTGATCTGAACAAAGAATAATAATATTGCTGGATTTCACATCATGATGCTACAGGATCAGCACTGGGTACCTTAGTGTCTCTTTTTCTTCAAAGTAGCTGTTCCATTCATTGTGCATTATATAATACATTCTTATAAACTGTTTCGAAGTTCTATGCATGCATGAGTCTCTACATGTATATCTATTTTTTCTGTATTGGAGGGAAAACAAAACAAAAGAAGACAAAACAAAACAAATTCCTAGAAAAACACTGAACGAAAAAGAAATATAAACAACAATAGCAATGAGCCCAGAACACTGACGGTATAGGCCTTCAAATAAAGGTGGTATGAGTGTGGCTAGGGTTATTATTTTACATAACAATCTTTATGAGTTCCTCAGATCACCATACAATAACATGCAAAATTATTCCAATCCTAGGAATGCTAACTATTTTGTTTCAAGAACTTATAGAATTTGTAGCACAATTGTCTTAG